CATGGCCGCCCATGGCAGGGAGGCTGGAACTGGATGGTCTTTAAGGTCCCTTCCAACCCAAACCATTCTGTGTGTCTATGAAAACCTGAGGTATATGGACTAACGCACAATATTATCAAGATTGTATTCCCCAGCAACAAAACCCACTGCTAAGCGCTGCTGTCAAACCCTCCCTGACTTCTCATCCTTGCTGTCAGCCTGACCTGTGGTCATGTGGTGTCTCCCCGAGGTCCCCACATCCCTCTGAGAGGTCGCGGTTGTTGTGGGCAGATCTGCAAGGTGAACAAGAGAAGGGCTCACACAGGAGTTTGACCATGTTTGTGATGCTGCCGCAATACAGAACCTCTCTGCTGGTAAGAAAAGACCATGAGGAACCAGCCATCATCCCAGAGATGGGTCAGGGATTGCACACTAGCAGCGTTATCAAACATGGCTATCACCAATTCCTGTCCCTTTGCTGTACGCTCTAAAGTGCGACTGCTATGTAAAACATGTTGTTTCAGCCATAACCTTCATTCCACTGGGAGCTCAGCAGGCATTGTCTCTTTCCAAGGTCACCATGTGCTATCCATGCTTGGCTCTAGAATCACAGGCTTCACGGCTCTCAGGACTGAGTTACCAGCCATGGAAAATAGCAGGTTTTCCACAAGGCATCCCTCATGCACCATTTGCAGAGCATGGATAGATCAGAGCCTGGAGTGCGTATGAAGTGCAGCGTGTGTTCCTGAAACACACAGCCAACCATAAGGAACAAAGCCCAGTTTCCTTTTTTTTTTCCCCACCTACTGCATTACCACTCATGTTCCTCATGCTCAAAATGAAGTCCTGATTCCTTGTCTGACCTTGCTAAAATGCAACAAGCATCATTACACAACCACCAAGAATTTCAAGAAAGCTGAAGAGGAATAAATGTGTTTTAAATATAAAAAGTCTTTTGCACCAGGAAAGAGGCGGAGGGAAATTGAATGCAGGAAATAGAAAAGGATAGAAAGCCAGAGCCAGTGATGAGAACTGCTTCAGAGCGTGGAAAGCCAAGGCTTTTTGCATTTTCCTCTTTCAGGGAAGGGAAGTAGGAATGTTGCTCCATTCCAGTATGGAAGGATTCCAGATGTTTTCCATCCAGCTGTGGCTCTGGGGACTCACCTGTCACGGTCAGCTCAACGGCGTCGCTCTGCTGCACAGCCCCGGCCCCAACCCTGTTTTCTGCCTCACAGTAGTACTTCCCGGCGTCGGAGGGCTGCAGGCTGTCCCACGCCAGCTCGGCCTGGCTGCTCAGGAGCAGGCCCTTCCCTCCTGGGGTGCCCCTGAACCAGCGGTAGCTGATGGGGGGGGACCCGCTGGCCACACAGGTCAGGCTGGTCCTGGCTCCTGCCGGGACCGTCAGCCCCAGCTCGCCGGCCCTGATGACAGGCTTGGTCACTGCCACTGGAAGACAAAGCAGATGGGGCCCAGGTCACGCTGGCGCTGGCTGCGCTGGGGAAGGCTCCCCCCTGCCTCCATGGCAGTTCTTGCTCTGGCTTTCAGTGCTTCCCAGGAGGAGGAGGGGCACCACGCTCACATCACCTCTCTGCACAGGTTAAGCTTGGCTTAGCTGTGCCAGTACCAGCTATGCCACCCTACACAAAGGGCTGCTCTGCTGGGCTGATGGCATCTCTGTTCCTCTACAAATCACCACGGCCCATGCAATGGAGATCAGGCACCTGCTGATGAGGTTTGAGCTAAGAAAAGCAATGCAATATCCCAGGGAATTCCCCTCTGGTGCGTGTCCCTTGGAAACACTGAGCCACTGGATACAGGTAGAGCCAGGGACAAACTGATAAGCAAGAGGCCACAAATCCTCCTCCAGCCCCCAAACTACAGGCCACAGTATCATGGGCAGAATTTCTCTCTGTGACCTATTTGCTGCTTCTCACCAGAATCTGACAGGGCTCAGCAAAACGCTCCTGCATCAGGAACGCGTGGTTACTACCTGCTTGGTCTATTAAATTCCCAAAAGCCTGCCCAAGCCAAGCCTTCCACTCCTGCACAGCTTCCTCCTCAGGTTTACCTTTAACAACCTCCACTTTACTGGTGATCTCTTTTGTTATCAGGCTGTTGTTGCTGGCTCTCCAGGTGACCTGGCAGGTGTAGGTTCCCCTGTCAGAGATTTCCAGGTTCAGGATGTGGAGAGACACGTCCCCTGGGGTGTCCTTCCGGACACTGACCCTGCCCCTGTACTCAGACAGGAGAATGTGGTCGCCAGAGCCATCCCTCCGAAAGACAGTGCCAGAGCTCTGGTCGTGCACCACAGTCCACTTGAGCATTTGCTGCACGAAGTTCTCCACAGGCACATAGACACAGGGCAAGGTGGTAGATCCCTTCCATACGCCTTTGATCTCACTGGGGCCAGTCAGGTCCAGAAAAGCTGCAGGAAGGACAGAGAAAGAAAATTTTAGAAAGAAGCAGTCACAGTGAGGGCAGCTCCTGGGTGATCATAGAATCATAGAATCAC